GCCAAACTTTAAAGCCAAAGTGATGGTAATAGAAATAGGGTTTAGGGTTTAGGGTTTAGGGTTTAGGGTTTAGGGTTTAGGGTAGGGACACTAATGGACATAGTACCTGCCCGAAGGCACCAGGACCTTCCTATTTGAAGGTCACGATGAACTCAAACATCGATGAGTCTCGAAGCAATGCTACCAACGGTTTGTGTAGGCTGCCGAAACCCCTAATGCCCTAAACCATAAGCCCTAACCCGAAAGCCTAAACCCGAACACCTAAACAACCCTAAACCTCAAACCTCAAACCGTGAGCCCAAAACCCTACCCGAGACCCTAAATGCGAATCCCTAAACCCGAAACCCTAAACCGCAAACATTGATCCACAACCCGTACACCCGAAACCCTAAATCGGGAAGTCAACCATGGGACCCAGGCGAGATCACGCTGGACGGTGAGATCGTGGAGCACACCAGGAAGCTGAGATCAGGCTGTCTGTTGTGGTTTAGGGTTTAGGGCTCCGGTTAGGACTTGGGGTGTAGGGTTTAGGGTGTTCAGGGTTTGGGTTTGGAGTTTAGTATTCGCGAAACTGCTTCCTTTTTGTGGCTTGGATCTTGCTTTGAATCAGTTTAGCAGGAGCCAATACAAAGGATCCTTTCTTTATCTTAGGGGCTGAGTAGGTAACCTTTAGCCTTCTGGGGCCTATACCCCTAAACCCTAAACCCTAGACACTAAACCCCTAAACCCCAAACTCTAAAAAACCCTAAACCCTAAACCCTAGACCCTTATATCTACGATAGATCGACAAGTTGACCTATCTTGGGCTAGGGTACTCGGCCCACGAAGTTGCTCTTTCCTTCCCTATCCTTCCTAAAGGGGGATTAGAGTTTGGGGTTTAGGGTTTTAGGGTTTAGGGTTTAGGGTTTTGGGGTTTAGGGTTTAGGGTTTAGGGTTTAGGGTTTTGGGGTTGATTAGCGTTCCGGTAATATAGGGGCCCAGGAAATTACTGATACTATTTTTGGGGGGTTCCTGATTCTAGTTGTCCTATAGTGGGCTCCAAAAACCCTGTTCTAAATTATTAAGGCCCAAAGGCCCTAAACCTCTATAGTAGCCCTTCTAGAACCCTTTAAGGAACCCTCTAAAGGAACCCAAAAACCTTTTTCTAATTATTCAGGCCCCTCTACCCTAAACCCTTCTAGTAGCCCTTCTAGATCCCTTTAAGGAACCCTCTTAAAGGAGCCCCAAGGAACCCTTTTCGAACTATTCAGGCCCCTCTATTACGTTTTGGAGATTCTGGGGTTCGGGTTAAGGGTGTTTAGGCTTCAGGGTTTAGGGTTTGGGTTTAGGGTTTAGGGTTCAGGGTTCAGGGTTTAGGGCTTAGGGTTTAGGGTTCAGGGTTCAGGGTTCGGGGTTCAGGGTTTAGGGAGAGAACCCTTCTGCTTCCAGGGGTGCCGATCGGAGTTGCCATGATGCTGTTAGAAAGGTGAGCTTCTAAACCCCAAACCCCACACCCCAAACCCGAAACCCCAAACTGGAAATGCAAACCCTAAACCCTAAACCTTAAGCCCGAAACCCTGAACCTTAGACCCCAAATCTTAAACCCTAAACCCTGAAAGAAGGAACACCACAAGCCCCTACGGCCTCCTTCAGGTAGCCGAGTCGTCCTGCGCTGTCCGGCGGTTTCAGTGCTCCGTCCCCCGGGTCGCAGGTTGTAAACGCTGCAGTTTGATGGACCTCCTCCTTAAGCAGACCTGAATCCTAAATCCTGAACCCTAATAGGGTTTAGGGTTTCGGGTTTCGGGTTTAGGGTTTAGGGTTTAGGGTTTAGGGTACCCTAAACCGTAAGCCCTGCACGAACCCGAAACCCTAAACCCTGCACTTTCAACCCTAAGCCCCAAACCCGAAGCCGCCCGAAGCTTGCTGGGACTGTTGGAGCCTTGCTTCGTACTGAGCCCTAGTTTTGGGACGGTTAAGCCCTAAACCTTAAGCCCAGGTGCGCTATGTCCTCGCAGCTGTTGGCCGCGCGTGATCTACGAGGAGCAGTTGGAGGTTCAGGGTTTTTTAACTGGGCTAGGAAGTCCAATAAGTAGACGAGAAGCATAGTTACCCCACCTATGGCACTGTACTTATAGCCCATGCTAGTTGTAATTACTAGCCCCCGTTGTAATTACCTTAAACCCCAATCCCTGATAACTATAGTTACCCTACTTATAACCAAACTTAAAACTACCCACGAACCTCCAATCAACCTGCCCACCGCACGTTTTGTGCCTTTTGCTTGACACAGGTCCCGAGTTGCCATATATTTAATGCAATTTCAGAAATAAAGTATAGTCTAGTATAGTATAGTATGGTATGGTATGTCTATAGTATACTAGAGTATAGTCTATGGTGCAGCACAGTTCAGCCATGGTAAACATTGGTAATACCATATTGTTATAGCAATGGCATGCTACAACAGTAAATTATACCCCGAAGCCCCATTCTAATTTTGGGTTTTTTTTGGGCCTTAAGGTTTGCAGGCTCGGAGTAGCAGAGCTTCAACCGTTCACGTATATAGGGGCCTAAATAATTACCTATACTATGGGGGGCTCCTTATGATAATTTTAGTGTAATGGACCCCACAACCCTATTCTAATTATTAAGGCCCCTACACCCTAAACCCTTATAGTAGCCCTTATCGAACCCTTTAAGGAACCCTTTAAAGGAACCCCAAAACATTATTGTAATTATGAAGGCCCCTACATTAGCCTGTTAGAGCTCCTCTTTTCAAGGAGGATCAACATTTTTTAAATATTAGGGTTTCGGGTTTTGGGGGCTAAGTTGGGGTTTCGGGTTTCATGTTTCTTGGTGGTCCCAAACGCAGCCCTTGAATCCCTGGGGCTTTGATGAGGTAGTCTTATTCTGAAAGCTTGAGCTTTTAGCAAGTTCTGAGGACCCGCAAACCCTAAACCCTAAGCCCTAAACCCTAAACCCCTAAACCCTAAACCCTAAACCCTAAACCCTATCTATAGACCCTCGCCCAAAACCTCAGTTGTGGGATTCTTTTCAGGATCCCTAACAACCCCAAATAGGACAACCCGGGTGAAACCCCGAGCTACCTCAACCCTAAAGAAAACAGCAGGTTTTGTTTGGTTCTTAACTATGCATTATTTTTCTGAGTCCTTTTAAGGGCTTGGGGTTTAGGGTTTAGGGTTCCTAACTATGATTTCCTTGTATTGCGGGAACCCTAAACCCTAAACCCTAAACCCTAAACCCTAAACCCTAAACCCTAAACCCGAAGCCTTGGTGGGGGCTAGATCCAGAAAGCCCCCCTCCCCTCAGACCATTCCGTAGGGTTTCGGTGTCTAGGGTTTAGGGTTTAGGGTTTAGGGTTTAGGGTTTAGGGTTTAGGGTTTAGGGTTTAGGGTCCAGGGTTTAGTACTTAAAGAATCATGGGACTTAGTAAGTAGGGTTATAACTAAGGTAACGATACTTATAACCCCAATTAGGGGACTTATAACCTTACTTACTAAGTCCCATGATCCTCCAAGTAGGGTTCAGGGTTTGGGGGTTCCATCAGAAACCGGGTCAAAACAACCCTAAACCCTAAACCCTAAACCCTAAACCCTAAACCGTGGCTAAGCTTGCGGAGCCTCCAACCCTAAGCCCGAAACCCTGAACCCTAGACCTTAAACCACAAACTGCAAACGGAATCCCAAACCCTAAGCCTGAAACCCTGAACCCTAAACACTAAACCACCAGCCGCAAAATTTAGACCCTAAACTCGGAAGGACGACGCCCTCGTGGTGATCTGGAAGGAGGCCAATGTCAAGGCTTCCGGCGGCTGGCAGACTGCCGAGAACGGAGCAAGGCCCCCATGATCTGCGGAGTACGTGATGCTTTGTTTTGCAATTTCACGCCACCTATCCCATCCATCCATCCATCCAGCCAGCCAGCCAGCCAGGCAGGCATGCATGCATGCATGCGCGTGCTTGCAAGCATACATATACACATCTAATTTTTTATGTGTTTGCTACCCCTTCAATGAATGCTCTGAGCGCTCGACCCAGCGACCGAACCCTTAGACCCACAACCCCAAGCCTCAAGCCCTAAACCCTAAACCCTAAACCCTAAACCCTAAACCCGATGAGACACGGGCACACAACCAGAGCTCAAGTCACCGGAGCTCTACCGAATTGAGGGGAGACCTCTAACCGAAAAGACCTTCCTTATTAGGGTTCCTTATTGGGGCTTATATGGGTGGTTGTCAAAATTATGGTCCCTTTTTGGGTCCTTATTATAATACGGCACGTATTATTTAGGGTACCCCAAAAGGGACCATAATTTTGACAACTGCCCATATATACGATTCCTCAAAAAGATGGGTCTTTCCTGCAACAAGTATTCGTGAAGCTGCATACGATGTCTTGTCATCATTTATGATGCTGGTGGATCCCTTAATTGAGGGATCTAGTGGGCTTCCTAGTGCGGGGTCTAATACTCTAACATAGGGGATTACCAATAATATTTTTGGGGGCTTCCTGATTATAATTGTACAAAATACCCCGCAACCGTATTCTAATTATTAAAGCCCTAAACCCTAAACCCGAACCCCTAAACCTACATTAGTGGGCTTCCTAGCGCAGGATCCAGGTGGCGGCCTCCGCTGACCCGGATGCCTTCGACGAGCGTGTGAAGGCCTGCCCAGGGTTTCGACTGAATTCTCAGAGCCCCTTATGGTCTCATAGGGTCTTGAAAGCTCGAGTTTAGGGGTTTATAGGGTTTAGGGTTGAGCGCACTAGCCTTGCGTTGTTGCTCCTCAGCCGTGTGACCCGTGGTTTTCGAAATCTCCAGTGTCTGCAGCATGATGGTGCCTTCCCTCATGCCGATCTTGTTGCTGGTGGGCCTGTCAGTGTCTCGCTCGCACCGTGTGGGCAATGTTGGGAATATCGACCGTCTGGAGCAGAATGTCAATGCTTCGGCAGATTCATCTTTGAAAGCTGGAGACAGGTGCGACTGACTGCTTCCAAGACAAGGTCTTCAACAACCGTTGCTGCGGAACTGGCTTGATCTGCAACTACGGCAAGTGCGAGATCGCCCTCGACGCGTCATGCCAACGGACCGTCCTAGGAGGCAGCGGTTGTGCTCAAAAGATCTATGACGACCGGTCGATTGGTTGCGAGTCCGGCCGCTGTTGCGTGCACAGCATCCCGGACAAGTTGCTCAAGCGCGTCAAGAGCTCATCCTACGGAGTCGACGTCTTGAAGTACAGCCCAGTGCTTCAGAGCCTTTGCAGGTGAGCTCGTAACTTGTGTTTTTTTGGGAGTATATAACGCCCGCTGAACGTTCTGTCATGAGAACCCCCCAATTTGTGGTTTTTCGACGACTGTAAACCCTAAACCAGAGACTAGACCCTAAACCCTAAACCCCTAAACCCTAAACCCTAAACCCTAAACCCTAAACCCTAAACCCCTCAACCCTAATTCCTAAACCCTAAACCTTAAACCCTAAACCCCCAAACCCTGACACTGGAGAGCTGAGGAAAGACTTCACGTGTTGCTCGGGAGTCAGTGAGGATGCTGGATGTGGTTTAGGGTTTAGGGTTTAGGGTTTAGGGTTTAGGGTCCTGGATGGGCCCCGTCTACTACTGCAAGTGATGGCAGGGCGCGGAGCCGGTTCAGGGGATAGGGATTAGGGTTTGGGGTATCGGGTTTAGGGTTTGAGGTGTCGTGTAGGGGTTAGTTGGTAGGGCGCAGCGCGGGTTCGTTGGTGCCAGCGCTCGTGGTTGCAAAAAGATGTCAGTGTTGCGCGCGTGGCTCGATTGGAGATTTTCCGTCAGCACTCGTGATCGCTGAGCATGTGGCCGAATGTTCACCTCGGAAATTTCACGATCGCTCCTAGTGGCAAGTGAACCACCCCCCTAGGGTAGCAATGCATGAATACGTCACGTATAATTGCGCTGTATGTGTCGTCGTGTCGCAGCCGTTTTGGCATCAGGCACGCTTAGACTACTGAAGCAACAGTTAGCCTCCTGCGTGGCCGGGTACTTCAATGTTCGCCAGTGTTGTGAGGGACGGGCTAATCAAATCAAATTTTGCTCAAGGCTAGCATGCTATAGCAGCCCGGACGGTTACCAATCCTGCTCTTTAGGGGTCGCTGATTCTGATTATCAAGGCCCTGCAATACATGCATTCCGGGAAATGCAAGCTGTTACACTCTAACATTGTCCAATGCAAGTGCGCGCTTCGAGTGCAGTTTGAGCAATCTCGGCACTTTGTCTTGCAAATCTATAAAGCCGAATTCTACAGCCATGCCTACGCCCTCAAAAAGACAAGTGATTGCTGGAGGGTTCGAGCGGTTCAGCGTGTAATGTAGGCGATGAGTTAAACACCCTTGTGTAAGCGCCACCATATTCGCTCACACAGCCCCATAGCCCTAAACCCTAAACCCTAAACCCTAAACCCCATAGCAAACTCCCAAAATTCCACATGAAAGCTTTCTGCGGAATCCTAAGTTGGAGATGCTGCCAAATCCCTAAACCCTAAACCCTAAACCCTAACAATCCCGAAACCCTATAGGCTGTCCATCGACTGGACAAGCCGGTGGCCGGGTTGAAGCTTAGCTGCATAATTAATTTAGGGTTTAGGGTTTAGGTTTTAGGGTTATCAATACTCAGAAGAAGAACAGTAGCCATAGCATTAGCACCTTGTTTTGCAGTTGTGCACTTGGGCGTTTCGGGGTTTGGGGGGTCTTTGTCTTTTGGGGTTGAGGGTTTGTTGCGGGCCGTTAAGGGCTTGGGGTTTCTGGCCTTGGCATCTTGCTCTCTAAAGCGAAGCAAAAGAGGCAGATCGGTTATGGCAGCAGGTTTGCGGGATTCCTATTATTAACAACCGGGGTCCCCCAGACCCTTCCTTAACCATGATTTAAGGCAGGTTCCTTCCTTAAGAGGTTGGGGAGTCTCTTGGGGTAGGGGTCAGTCTTTGTCAGGGGACAGGGACAGCCTTGCCTTGCCTCGTGTGATAGAAACGGTTGCGGGACGAGACGCCCTGAATCCGAAGCCCCAAAACCTTCAACCCGAAGCCCTAAACCCTAAACTCTAAACCCTGAACCCTGGACCCTAAACCCTGAACCCTAAGCCCTAAACCTTGAACCCTGAACCCTAATCTCTCAATGATAATCTCTCAACCTAATACAGGGGCTTCTACCATAATCTGAATAAGGAACCCCCCAAAACAGTGTAGGTTATTCAAGGGCCCTATACTAAAGCCTGCGGAGGATGCTCCTGGCTAAGACGAGCTCCTGCCACCGGCAGCTGACGTCCTGGCTGGCTGCCAGGCATGGAAGGAGGGTTTCGGGCTTGGGCCTAAAGGATTTAGAGTTTAGGGTTTAGGGTTTGGGCTTAAAGGTTTAGAGTTTAGGGTTTAGGGTTTGGGCTTAAAGGATTTAGAGTTTAGGGCTTGGGCTTAAAGGTTTAGAGTTTAAGGTTGAGGGCTTGGGCCTAAAGGATTTAGAGTTTAGGGTTTAGGGTTTGGGCTTAAAGGTTTAGAGTTTAGGGTTTAGGGTTTAGGGTTTGGGCTTAAAGGATTTAGAGTTTAGGGTTTGGGCTTAAAGGTTTAGAGTTTAGGGTTTAGGGCTTGGGCCTAAAGGATTTAGAGTTTAGGGTTTAGGGTTTGGGCTTAAAGGTTTAAAGTTTAGGGTTTAGAGTTTGGGCTTAAAGGATTTAGAGTTTAGAGTTTAGGGTTTGGGCTTAAAGGATTTAGAGTTTAAGGTTTAGGGTTTGGGCTTCAGGACTAGGGTTTGGGCTTTGGGGTCTAGGGGTATAGGCGGATTTTGGGTGGTTTAGGGTTCGGGGTTGCTTTCGGGTGTATCGGTCTCTGTAGGGTTCAGGGCTTTCGGATCAGGAATCTGGCATCGAGTTTCAAACCCTCAACCTAGGACATTTTCAGGTGGGTAGTTACCTTAATTTATAGGAGCCTTATAGAAGGTCTATCTACCTTATGGAAGCCTTATAGAAGCCCTATATACCCTAAACTCCCCACCTGTAGTTTCCTTTAACTCAACCCTAAACCCTAAACCCTAAACCCTAAACCCTAAACCCTAAACCCTAAACCCTAAACCCTAAACCCTAAACCCTTACCAACGCCCGAAAAACCCGCCAAAGCTTCCTGAACGGCCACGGAGCGGCTGCAGAGATTTTCGCAGGTGCCCTTCCAAGACCGGCAGCAGGAAGGTGCTACCAATTAGGATAAGGTTATAGTTATAGGTATGGACATTTGGGGGTTTCCGAAACTAGGGGACCCGACTATAGTATAGCACCCTAAATAGTAGGATCCTGACCCCCAAAATACGGTACCCCATGTTTTCGGAAACTCCCATATAAGGACTCTGAGGGGATATTGTGCTATGATCGTCAGGGCCTTGGGCTTGGGGCTTTGGGGCCTTTAGGAGGATCTGGGATTTAGGGTTACTGCCCGGCCCTCTCGGTTTTTTGTAGAGGTTGAGGGAGTTAGGCCATGCCAGGCCAGATGCAGAACAGAGTTGTTTTTTGTTGATTTCTTGGTTTGGGGTAGCGGCCGGCTTATTAGGGGCAAGGGGTTCAGCGCCGTCGATTCGGGTTTCTTCACTCTTCTTGGAGGAGGAGTTCGGGCGCTGGTTATCTTCCGAGCCTTAAGATGAAACCGAGAGTCTATAGCCTTTGCACGGGAAAGGCTTGCCCCCTAAACCCCATAGCCTTCAACCCGAAACCTCATGTAGCCCTCATGCTGACTTAAGGCGTGTCCGAAGCAGGCATCCTCGGCTGTCAACGGTGTAATATAGGATCCTAAAGAATTACCTATCCTATTTTTGGGGTTCCTTTAAAGTTGTTGGGTTCCTTAAAGGGTTCTATAAGGGATCCTATAAGGGTTTAGGGTTTAGTCGCAGAAGCTGGTAGAAGCTGAAGAGCGCCCAGTCGGAACAGGGGAGGCTCAACTCTAGCAAGCGGTCGGACAGCGAGTTTGTGGACAGTGTCGTCGTCTATTGTAGCCTTAGTAACTAGAATAGGGTTTTTGGGGGTCCATTATACGATGCTCATATTAAGGACCCCCCCCCAAAAAAAATAGTAGTGGTAACTATTTAGGCCCCTTTATTATTCTAGAAGTATAGTAAGGAACCACCACACTAGTAATTTAGGCCCCTATACATATTACCTCCGACTCCTTTGCCGTCTGACCAGAGCACTGAATCTAGGACATTTTCAGGTGGGTAGTTTCCGTTAAAGGAGCCTTATCGAAGGCCTTATGGAAGCCTTATAGGAGGCCTACAAACCCCAAACTCCCCACCCCCAGAGAACCCGATATCCCTTAAAGAAGGAATATACCTCAAATTATGGGGGCCTTACTATTATGATTTAAGGTATATTCCTTAATTAAGGGGTATTGGGCTCTCTGAGCCTGTAGTTTCCACGCTGTGGCCTATGGCCGCCCTTGAGAAGGCTACGGCTGCATCCCGTGGCTGTCGTTAACATGCCATACTACAGGGGCCTAAAGAATTACCTATAGTCTTTGGGGGGCTCCTTATTATAGTTAATAATGACCTATAGTATTTGGGGGGTTCCTTATTATAGTTTTAGTAACAAAAAGCCCCCAAACCTTGTTCTAATTGTTAAGGTCCCTACATTACCTGTCGCTCGGTGGTGAGCCAATAAGCTCAAGAAGCGGTAAGGCAGAAAGAGCTGAATCCATAAACCCGGTGGGGGTTTCGAGGGCTTAGGCTCGGTCTAGGTGGCAACTTGGGATTTTTTCCTTGCTTTACGGTATGTTCCTAGAGGTGCCTTGAACTCTGAAGCGGTTTACCTAAATTACAACCCAGATATCTGCAGTCTGGGATGTAGTGTAACTGTTCGGTTTACCAAATCTGGGTTTAGGATACCAAACTCCATACCCATAGCCCAGAGAACCCAATACCCCTTAAGTAAGGAATATACCCTAAATTATAGGGGCCTAAATGTTATGATTTGAGGTATATTCCTTAATTAAGGGGTATTGGGCTCTCTGGGAATGCCAAACCGGATAACCGCCCAAGAGAGGACCTAGACTGCGGAGTCTAGGCAGAACCCTAAACCCTGGACCCAAAACCCTAAGCTTACACCCAAAACCCAAAACCATAAACTTAAATAGCCGAAACCCGAAGCTCAAACCCTAAACCGAAAGCCATAAACTTAGGCATCCAAAACCCGAAACCCTAAACCCAAAGTCATAAACTTAGGCACCCAAAACCCGAAGCTTAAACCCGAAACCCGAAGCTTAAACCCTAAAC